TGTGGTGACTGCGAATGTCGGTGCCAGGTCATACAAAACAAACTCTAAAAGGAAAACGTTCGGAAGAAATCGAGTACATTTGAGACAACACCGGAGACAGCAAGGTGGACTGGGAGTGGCGTGGCAGATGGCGTAGGGCAAGAAGACCACTACCACAGATACAGCAAAGACGACGCGGAGTAGCAAGGTGTACGGGGTGGATAGCAATATGGGGAGCAAGAAAACTAAAACAGGGAGGATGTGATAGTAGTATCAGATCAGAGTGAGCAGATGGACCAACCGAGCAAGCCAGACAGCCAATGGGAGGCGGGTGGACGGATTCAATTCCTGGACTCGGATTGGCCGATATTCCTGAGAGTGATACACGGTTTGTTAAACTGAAGCAACAGAGAAATCTCATCGACTCAGAAGGGTCGTTAGTTATGGGCGTGAACCTGTAATGTATCTCGAGGAGTTTGGCTTGCTAAATATGTTGCACTTTTCGCTGAGCTCTCTTTGCCCAATAGACGCTTGTCCCTGAAGGACAGATTTCTGATACAGAACTGTCTAGTAAGGTACGATGTACCTGACAAGTTTTTGGTGAAATCACCCACCGAGTTTAAGTTAGAGCTTTTGCCATACTATCTTACTCCTGCGCTGTTGTCAGTTAAGTAGGCCAGTGTAACCGTATTTCGCCGTTCCTGTTCAAACTTGCCATCAATGTATTGCTTCACCACTCAATGGAAGGAGCGTACAGAGTTGAACTTTTTCCCAAGGAACAGAGTGGTGGGCCTGGATTATACTGATAACAACTCCTTTCTAAGTGACAATGCACAGGCCATGCAAGACATTTGGACATGCTTGGTCATTTGGACGTTAAAAATGCTCCTTATTTTGTCCAACCAAAGTGCTTGACTTGCATATAGGATCAGGAAGCGCCTGTGCTTCTTTGTACCACTGTGCTTGACAGCCTGAAGTAACTTTATATCCCTACTTAATACAAAACTTGCACCACCTCTAGCGGAGGTATTGTAGCCTAAAGTTTACAACGAATTGCGAAACCTAGCTAAGGATTCATTAACCTGCGACACTTCTGGCGTCTTCGCGACGTTGTTCCCAAGCTCAGAGTTGGAGTGTACAGTATCATCGTCCGAGCGGTATGCTAAAAGTTCGCGAGAATTGGACTGCTCACGCAGACGATCTGAGTTGGCTGTCGGCCTTCGAGAAACGGTCTATGAATAATTGCTCATGTGTGGTGACAGACTAATGTAAGCACTACGGAATTCAGGGGCAGAGTACTGGGTTCGAACTGCCCATACCTACAGGGCATTATTCTCCAACACCGTTGCAGTTGACTTCATTACGTGCTGCGCATGCTAGCCAATACCCATGCTCGTCTACATTATTTGCAATTTCTGGATGTGAATGGCAAAGATGCTGCGACGTACAAAGGATGATTTGGAAAGGAAACATGATTATTTAGTGTCAGTTATATCTGTTAGATTTCCAGGTTGAGGATGAAACGATACTGCGTCCCTGTGGGTAGAAGTACTGGAATTTATAGCTCAGAATCTAAACAAATAGGGCCAGTACAATTCTACCCTCTTCTAGGTTATGTCCGATCTTTAACCAAACAAAAGAAATAAAAAAGGAAACTCAAAACGGCGCGTGTGAAACTTAAAATCTATTCCCATTTCACACTGTTTTCATTCTCTTGTTAAAGTTAATTTCCCTCTTCCATTACTTCTAGGCTTCTGATGGCACAGTTGCATGTGTTCAGACTTGTATATAAATAAATAAAAGTTACGCACAATACTTATTTAGCAAATCAAGTGACAATTCTTCTGTTATTCGATCATTAACGAAACTATTAAGAACGAAAGGAGAAATTCTGTGAAATGCTGTCCTTTCTTGCTCTCGGAGTTGGTTTTTCATTTAACTACAACTTGAAAAATATGTGGATTATCACCCACTGTGGGTCACATTCGGTAGGTGGCTTATTCGATAAAGTCTATCAAAAAATAACAGAAGTCGAACTGCACGGAGTCTCCACTCATCATTTACGTATGCTATAATGGGAAACCTTTGTGTCGGCTGTAACAAAACGATTTTCTAAAAAGAATTCGACCGACTATTGCTCTCTGCATTGTGTTCCAGCTCAACCAGGACAGGTTGACAAGACGACTGATGTAAGACCTGGTGCTACTTTACAAATAGACTCACCCAAAAGCCTGTTCCATTCAGATACACCAGAACAGCAGCGTAGTGTAGCTTCGAGACAGAAGTGATACACTATCTTTAATGGAGAAGGCGACAAATATATCCTTCATCATCCGTCTTATCACATTTGGTGTCCTTCGGAACAAGCTGGATTTCTATTATTATATAAAGACATCTACGCAAGGGCCAGATTATGACGGCATTCTTATTATGAAGAACACCAGGTGATTTGCACCAAGAAGGATTAAAAACCTCTATCACAAGGGGACATGAAATTCCACATACTAAATATTGGCATTCCAGATTATTCCGTTTTTAGTCTGGGCGTTTGCTGAGCTCGGTCGATTGGCCGAAAACATGTATTCACCACTCAAGTTGACACCGTTAGTATGTCGTTATGTAGCGGAGCGGCGTGACATGAAGCGTCAATGACGATCAGACCGCCAAATTTCACATCCGTTAAGGACCCCACTTTTAGCTGAAGTTTCTCCTATTTAGTCCTGGAGTGAAAACAAGAAAATAGAAGTACTGGCGCTATGTTGAAGCCGTCTGTTCGTGGTAGATTGAGCCACCGAGCAGCATGAACAGTATGCTATCTAAGTTGTAACCCCGAGGAATCATACGCTATGTTAATAAAACAGTTTAACATGAGGTTTACTATCACAAGAAATCACAAGTTTGACTGCGATTTAAGTTGCATTTAATCTCGGTACACTGGTTTACCATGACGAGATCCGTAGCAGATAAGCTCCAAGTGCTATCCGACCTTGACGCTGAAATCAACCACAGGTTTCACCTCTAGCTGCACGATTTAGGTGAAGGTAACAGAACTCTACTGCTTCCCAAAAGTAAATGGATAAGTTGAATTCCATTACTCCAGAGACTGAGTTTCATTTTAAGCAGTTTCGCCTGAAGAGTGATAGCAAGTAAGCTGTCGGTCGTGGAGTTCTTTGCTGTTGGTACGCATAATGTAAAATTCAGCTTAATTATTATTTGCTGCGGCTGCTGACAAACAATCAGATAGTTGAGCAGTGTAAAATTGCTATTCATTAATGTGGTCATCGTGGATTTGCTTAGTAAAGGACCGCGTTTAATTTTGATAGTAGATTTCATCCGTAAAATGTGCATTGACTCCTAGTCGTGTATTAGGTTTGTGAAGCTGTAGGTCCAGCATGTCACTTCGCTCCCACCTATTCTCATAGACCCGTAAAATATGGTGTGTGTCGCTCGAAGACCACATATTCATGCAAGCCATAGGTATTAGACTACGAAACAGTATCCAATTTCACTAGATGCATGTACCCATAAATTAAACATTCAGCAATCCATGCGGCGACTCTGTTCTGACATATCTGTGATGAAAATATGTGAAGTCTATTTACTCACACATATTAAAACATCTGAAAACTTGCCTTTCTTATACTATAAATTTGTCGCAACTAGATGTTGAGTGTTAACGTCGAAAACACTGTGATCATGTTCATGGACGATATCTTGATATATACAAATTGTTCTCTGAATTTGGACAAGGAGGATACGAGTTATGCCATCTCTTCCCTTACCGTGTCACTAAGTATGTTGAAACGATAGCAATGCAATTTGAATCTTCTTACAGCATCTACGCTGGACACAACATACTTTGCATTGTAGATGAGCACTTGAATACTAGAACATGCACCAGTACATCATGTGGATCCTCAGGTGATGCACGACGCATTTGACATGAAGGGTGAAGCGGTACTCCTTGGCTTCGATTGCGCGGTCGTGACAAGCGTGCTACACTTCTCCGGCGAAGTGAGCAAGGGATATACATGCGTACCTCATGATGTGGTTAAATGTAGAACGGAGCGGGAATTTATTGCTATCCAACGGAAAAAGATTTGTCATTTATGCTGTCCATGAAGGTTTCTCACACGGATTCCGGAAGTATCTCCTATCTATTGCGAAAGCTATCGAAATCTGCCACCTCAAAACAAAATTGTGCGTACAAAATGCTTCGTACATCCTTTAGTTCTACCGTGACCTACAACTTCTGTTGTGATTTCCCCTGTACATACTTTGCCACCTTCAGTGACCCCGTGATTTAGTGATTTTTCCTATTGGAACTAAACCTTCTGATCAATACGCAGCCCAATACGGCATATTTAGCACTTTGTCGTTATCATGTACTCTTTGTGTCTGATGAGAATTTTTGAAAAGAATTCTTTACTAAAATTCTGCCTCCCTTGATTCATTCTAGCTAACTGGCGTTTTCTTAGCGAGCTGATCCACACCTAGAGAGAAATTATCAGTGAAATCAGATACTAATTTCTTGTAATCCGATACCTTACGTTAGCTGGCTATAGTAAAACGAAAGATTTAGAAGACACAAATTTTGTTAAAAGTTATACACGTTCTAAGTCGAGTAAACCCATAACAGATGTGGAGTCGAAGCATCGCCCAAAAAGCTCACTTGCACATCACAATTTCCGTGAATTACAAAGTTTTCAACGGTAAAGCTGGGGACACATGGTCGACATTTGTAACACTTGTTGCACAAACCAAACTAAAACTGATGCGTTCATGAGTGACATAATAAAACCACTATGGTATATTCGACAACCTACGTTCTATGACGGAGCAATGCTTCGTCAACCACACCAGTACCATAGAAGGAGCCATCCAACAGACACGCAAAATACAATCGCAAGTGTCGCTATCATCCAGCCCTGAAACAAAATGGCAGATCAAACCTGACTCAAAAGCGCAATTTTACATACAAAATATACAAAATAACATGTCTGTGCATCTGTCAAACTCACCAGTTGTTGCCCAACTAGGGTCTCTGCGGAAATCGTTTCGTCCAGCTTCAAATCACATTTGGTCAGATGCAAGACTATGGGGCGTTTGTGAACACGGGAAGATTTTAGTTCGCTCATCCATTTTAACAAATTCTCCACTGATGGCTTATCATCCACCGCGGCGCAAAGTAGGTACGCTTCCATGTTTGGATACATTGCCGATCGTGTTCGTTTGTATTCATCTGAAGCTATCAAATAGGCGAAATTCTTTCGTTACAGAATGGGCTGGATTTGATGTATCTCAAGTTCAGGACATGAAAAAGTGTAACAGGGTGGTAAAAAATGGAGAGAATTTTAAATAAGTTAAAAACAAGATTTTAAACCTTTCAGTTGATAATGCCTGGGATCTCGACCATATTCGCTTGGGGCAAGTGGATCGAATTGTGGGTTTTCTCTAAAGCGACAGTAATGTACTTATCAGATTTACAAGATTCCACAAAATGAAACCGAGGCGGAAATCATAAGTATGGCCAAACTTTTGCATTTAATATCTTTTAGGTAAAAGGGAAGTGCATCTAATGCTAATTATTAACAGTAAACCATTCAAAGTAATAAGACAGATGATTCTTGCAGGCAGTTTCTTCTTATAAATTTTATAAGCAGGATTCACATTTAACAACGCACACTGGGTCCTTGCTGATAATTTGTCACCTCACTTCCCAGTTGATTTCAGCGAAAAAACAAATGGTCCAACTAGTGGATACAGCCTTGTACATAGTAGCCACAGTCTGGTGTTAAGTCACAGGGTGAAATCACTTTATAGTTATCGTTTAATGCTATTGCGTTTTACTGCTACTGTGGTTTACTTAAATATGACATGCTTTGGAATTGCAGCAATATTGTACTCAAGTCACTATGACGCACGTACTTTCAGTTTTGACTTTCCTGACACTTTTGTGCTGCTGTCTCTGCTGTGGATGTTACCCAGAGTAATTATTTTGTTCCAGACAAAGAAGGGAAAAGATTTGTGTGAGGCTGATGGTTTTCCTATTTTCACTCGTTATCAAGTCCAAATTTGTCCCCGTGGAATATCAGGCAATCTGGGATTAGTGCAATTTATGACAATCATGTGGCACCCAATCTGAAATTCCTGAGACCTCTAATATGTCAATTTGTCCAACATTGCGAAGTTGACGAAGTTTCATAGTGATATAGAGGGAACACCGGTTAAGAGACACAGACATCTTTCTGATGTGGAAAATGATGGGCGCGGAAGTGTTTCTTTCGTCATCTCAGAATGAAAATGTCGCATAGTGAACACATGTGTTTTTGTGTTTTGGTGAGTAACGCACCCATAGCTGTGTGGTCTCATGAAAGTCCAACCGACACACGCACTTCATAAAGAAATATGTATATCTATTAATGTTAAAGTCTACCTGACACTTTGATTGACCAGAGACCATCCATGAATCTACCTTTGAGACTAAAGCATTGGTGATCCTGCAAGGTCCTCTAACATGAACAAGGTACATATTCACCTGCGGTTGTTTCATTATTGAAACTCAACGGAATAATTCCATGATGCATCTATAAGCTTGCGGAGCGCTATTCTTAGTGTAACAAACGTTATCATACAGATGGTGATGTAATTCACATTCCAACACTAAAATTTATAATCCTAGTCTTAGCGCAAATGCTTTACTTAGGTATTAGTATATTGTATAACTTACTGTTATTTGCTTTTAACGAGCGCACAGATCCGAGTAACAGATTTCCCTGAATGACCATTACCTCTAGGTGAACTGGAGCACACTACTTTAGCAAATACAAAAAATTATTCCCACAACTGCATGAAAACTGATTTATCCAGAAAATTTATTAAGGAGTCTAAGGTGACACTGTCGTTTCGCATTCTTGTTTAGCCATAGAGGCACAATTGAAAACTAACATATTTGTAAATTTAAAAGGCAGAATAGCGGTTCTGGTAAAATATTTGTATTTCATTTAATTTAACCCTCCCATAGCCACCGAATTTAACTTAACACGGAATCTTTAGATGGTGAGTGACACGCTAACTTCATCAAGTAAAAGCCTTTTACACGCAAACGTTCTTTCCCTTCACTAATATTAAGTTAATAAAGATACGTGAAATTACCCACAGCTGGCAAATACGGTAAAGGCGAAAAGTACGCAGTTGTTCTTTAATCCAAATCAATTATACTGGTGTGCACCAATTCTCAGAAGGATAAGAAATGCTAATAAATTATCTCTCAGAAACGTTGGCCAGGCTGTAAACTCCCCTTACTGCATCTTGACAAACAACATCTAGAGAGAATCGTCGAACCCAGTATCAGTTAAGCCGCATTACTGAGTTTCGAAAAACGCTGATGGCCGGATTATATAATCGTAGCACATTTTCAGTGGACGTATACCGATTTCCTTTTTTTCAACAGTTGACCATTTAGGTACAGAGAGGATATGTAAGCTACAGAGCTATTGTGGATTGTAATTGAATTTTATGACCAGATCAGCGATCTAACTCCAGTAGTGGGAATAGGAAGCTAATATGTGGGAACAGTTGTTCGCTAAGTGGAGAGCTAAAAGGCTTATTTATGTACCATGTTGAGGATCATTTTGAAGCACACGTTGTGTGGTTGGATTGCGACACGCAATCTCAACGTTGACCGTGATTCCAATTGAAGTGATCATTGGTCTTTCGATCACGAGAACCGTAGCTGATGCAAATAGAAATTGGGTGTTGCCCGCCAGAAAACACTGCACTACTATGACGCGTTTCGGTATTATTACATCTCATCAGATAGGGTTAGCAGGCATCGAACCCGAGACCATCGGGATGATAGTTATGACTGCTATCCATCCACACAAGGTGTACTCCAAAATGACCCTCAACATCGTTCATTATACTGTCGTGTCAAGCGTTGCCCCATCATGACCCGCTGGCTTAGGGGTTGCGGCCATAACTAACATCCCTATGGGCCCGGGTTCGATGCCTGCTAACTCTATCTATGCATTTACCGAGCATTCATTATTCCAGTTGCGCTGTATGATTGAGGTGCAATCCACTGGTATACAATTCAGCGCGGATAGCTCTAGATGATCAAACAATTCCGGGATTACTATTTATCATTTAGCATCTCATATCATTTTGCATGCAGGATGTCGATGCTTATGATAAATCTGCAACCTTCGTCCAGCGTTGAATCTACTGCTGTATAAATGTCGTTCAAGTTAGGGCTCAACTCTAGTCTCCGTTGCATGTCATTTTGCTGACTAGGTTGCATTTATTATAACAAACAGGCACCGAGTTCTGATGACCGAAAAGATAATGAGATTACTGACCGCATAAGCTGTTGGCGCAGCTAGTGGCAATTAAATTGTTATGATTAACTGGTGCAGTGTTTGAAATTGGCAACGTAGTTGGAGCGGTTCAAAATACGTAACCCACCGCCGGTGTCCAAAAATAGCACAGATATCCTGACCTTAAATTAAATATCGGAAAGATCACTAATTTGATCACAGAGTTTACATTCTGGCCTCGTTTGCAATAGTAGGTGCCTAACAAAGATAAAATCCATAAGCTATTCGATCGATCTCTGTCCACCTTTGTAACATTTTCATAGCAAAGCAGCGAATTGGAAAGCTGAAAATGAAACAAAGCTGTATCGTGTTTCGAAATAATGGGTATTTGCTTAGAATCATGGCATGCAAAATCTTGTCAACTTTTGACTTCCGGTGTATTGTCAGCTAGGTTATGCTGTGAGATTCGTGTGAACCTAGATAGTTTGCTGTTATTGACTTGTTTAGGCATATATGGTTGGAGCAAAATCTGCCGCAATGTGTCCCACTTGTTTATCGGTCTATTTAATAAGGATTTAATAAGGAGCCATTTCGATCTCAACGGAAGTGCTTCTTCAATTCGTACGAACGAGTTTACCTTATATCTAGTCGTTAGTTCAGAGGAAAAAGATTTATCGATCGATCCCAGTAGTCATATCTCCTTCCGTAGCCAACTGGTGTCATAAATATAGACACTGTAAGTATGCCGTTAGAACCGCTTAGAATCCAGATAAATAGTTGAAAAATGTTTTCCGGCTGCTATTAAATAAATGAGTTTCATAACATTGAGGCCTTTCGCCCAAGGTAAGTAGTCGCAAATCGCGCTTAAACGCCACTACATATAGTACTAAATGCTATTCAACTCAAGGTTTCTCTCTATATCTAGTGAACCAGTTAAGGACTGTCTTAACGATATAGCAGCAAACAACTCGGTTCCAAGCATTCAGAAGAATGACTAAAACAATTTTGGCACCGTCGAAAATTCCAAAAGCGTTCGGCGACCTGCACCGAAAGACGAGTACATATCACTAATTTAATCGGAGAACAGACGAGGATTTGGTCAGTAGCTTATTTGTTGGATCTATAGCAGTAGAAAGACCAAACGGTCAGTTAAATATCCGACTTGAGAATCGACATGAAATCACTAATTAATAGATTATGTCCATCTGATATGTCTGACATTCAAGGTCTCGACTGTGTGTGATATTTGGAGTTTTGTTAACTAATCCACAGGGTTTTGCGGTTAATTGTGTGCTAAAATGTTGACAAAATATGCTAGTCATCAGTCTGCAATCAAATTTAATTATGGTTTTTCAAGGCATTTATGGCCAACTTTCACCACAATTGATTCCAGGTTAAGGAAGTCGCTTGATTCGACCGATATCCCGTTGAACAGAGAACTCAAACGGCGTCAATGCCATTGATGAAAGCAGTTTTAGCGTGTTATGAGGATAACGGAAACATCAGCAACCTGTGGCCTCTTGAAGTGGCTGTTTTCGGCGCTGCCCCCATACTTTCCGTATGTGTCAACCAAATAAAATGTAGAGTAGCGCAGAAACAGACTGGCGGCTATCAATGCTGAGGAAATTCAAAGATAATTCAGTACTAGTTCTAACGTTTGGTCTGGGTCTCTAACATAAGAGACATGGCACTACCATGCGTAAGATCAGCATAAACCTAGCCACACCCTTGTGTCGTCACATTAATGAGCTCTAAGATACAAGAGTATAGAATGCAGCCCCCAGATGCACAAAACTACTACGACTACATTTTAAGTCAAGTCAAAACAGATTTTATGCACCTGGGTAGATGGGATTACAGCTTTTTACACTATCAATAAAAATGGAGATAAACATGAGACCTAACAGACAAGAATAACTAAATTGTGTTAT